ACCCTAATAAAAGCTTGATTCCTCCTTCCCCCGTGTTAGGAGTGCATTTGGCTTGTCTTTGGTTCTTGTTTGATCAGAGGGGATTTAAGGAAGATCAGGTGAGTTTAAAGAGAGTGGTAGAACAGGGGAATAGGAGAAATGTTTTTCTCTCATCTTCCCAAAGTCTGTTCAGAAATCCTCTCTAAAAAAGTCAGGTCTAAACCCTAATAAAAGCTTGATTCCTCCTTCCCCCGTGTTAGGAGTGCATTTGGCTTGTCTTTGGTTCTTGTTTGATCAGAGGGGATTTAAGGAAGATCAGGTGAGTTTAAAGAGAGTGGTAGAACAGGGGAATAGGAGAAATGTTTTTCTCTCATCTTCCCAAAGTCTGTTCAGAAATCCTCTCTAAAAAAGTCAGGTCTAAAGGCAGCTTTGGTGCTAGAACCGAGAAACAGTGAATAAACAGAACAGAGATAGGAAATACAGGCCCCTCCAAACACAAAGCCAAAATCCTAGAGCCCTTCCCTAACCACACCCCCAGCTAACACTGCCTCTACTGCCTTTGGGCTCACCTTTTTATAACCCTCCCTCTCCCACAATGCTTTGCAGAGCAGGCAAACCAACAGAAGCCCACTGCAGCTTTGCTTTTAAAGGGGGTTTTCCACTCTAAATGTGGCCCATAGGAGCCCTCCCGAATCATGCAGAGGCAGCAAACTCAACCCAGAGCAAACCACAAAAAGCTGCAGTTCTGCTGAATCAGGGCATTCCCCCAGACCCCCACCTTGCCACACCCCACCACAGGTGCATGCTTTTAAAAGCAGTTACCTCAGCCCCATTTCCAAAGGGGGAAAAAAAGGCTCAGGGCTGGAGCCATAGGAACCTAGATGCTATCCTGATGGGTACTCTGGAAATATTATAGAGAGAGGGTGCTTCCTAATTTGGGGGATGAGGCCAGTAGGGCAGCAGAATGAGATGGAAAGGATACAATGGGACCCTAATGAATTGAGTTCATCACTGCTTCTGCTGCAAAACCCCATGAAGCTTTGGAGACACAAACTGACTTTCCTCACCATCCGTCATGCCCAAAAGGGTTTGTCCCAAGAACAGCTACAGCTAAATGAAAATATCACATACCCACACCCCCCCCCCAGCCCATATTGGCTGTTATTTTCCCAGCCAGAGTCCAATTCTGTAGACCCTGTACGCACTGCTCTGTTGCTTCAGTGATGATAGGTATTTTTCCCTTTCCTGTCTCTGTCTCCTCAATCATCGGAGTAGTGTAGCTGCTACCTTCCACCCCAGAGGTGGCTGCATTTCAGCGGGGAGAGCATAGTGGTTTCCATTTGTAAAATGCTTCAGAAGTGACCGACATTATGTGTGGTAAGCCAACAACTGCTGTGTTACAGGTCAGCGGAATAAGCACCCTGGGAGAGAATATTGCAGACAATGGAGGAGTCCGACAGGCTTACAAGGTAACTCCTTAAAATACTGCAAGTACATTTTTGAAGACCCAGATGTGTTTATTTTCATTAGGCTAAGGTGGGAGTTACAGGCATCTCACCTGGGACTGAGAGGTAAAGATTAATGCCCTACCTAGGGTTACCAAATGAAATTAATAGGTAGCAGGTTTTTAGAACAAACAAAAGGAAGTTTTTCTTCATGCAGCGCACAGCCAACCTGTGGAACTCCTTGCCAGAGGATGTTGTGAAGGCCAGCACTTTAACAGGGTTCATAAAAGAACTGGATACATTCATGGAGATTAGGTCCATCAATGCTTATTAGCCATCATGGGTAGGAATAGTGTCGCTAATCTCTGTCAGAGGCTGGATATGGGTGACAGGGGAGGAATCACTTGGTTGACAGGGGAGGAATCACTCTGTTCACTCCCTCTGGGGCACCTGGCATTGGCCACTGTCGGAAGACAGGCCGCTGGGCTAGATGCAAGTGTGGCCGTTCCTATGTTCTTGGTTCCATATGGAATGTGGTGAATACCGTTGCCTCACACCAATGCTCTGACTGGGATCCCTGCAAGCACACCCTAGCACCCACATGGATTCAGTCACACGATCAAGAAGGATCATTATTGTTCTACTGCGGTACTGCCCAGACCCAACCCACAGGCCAAGGCCCCGCTGTGGTATGTGCTGTGCAAACGGCTCAGAAGAACAAGCAATGTACGTGGTGATAAATAGGCCGAAAAAAGGGGAAAGAACCCGCCTCTCGCCAGGGCCCCTCACACGGAGATTCTTGCTGCAACTTCCATCAACTTGTCAAATATTATCTGGCAACAGAGCGTTAGTTTCCCAGCAACGTGGTTTGAGGATGGTTTTAAAGTGCAGCCTCCTCCCTTCCCCTTCCCTCCCCGGTTTGCTTTTCTTGCACATTTCCTCCTTAAGCTAGCGCAACGTGCCAGGTGTCAGTGAAGTGACAGAGATATCGCATTGCTCCCCAGAGAAAGAAGAATCCTCTCCGAGCAATCACTGCCCCCAGATTCAGAATCCAGCCCGGGGCACTGCTCAGTCTCTTTTACGTTCCTTGCGAGTTGGATGATCTTTTACAAAATGGTGCATGGAAGTTTCCTCCATCTTCTTGCTCTTTATTTCCCATGCTCCACTGGAGCAGAATCAAACTGGCCCTACATTTATATATAGTTGAGAGAGTTTGTCTGTTCAAGAATTCTTCCTCAATGGTAAGAGTCAGGAGCATCAAATTTGGTAGGTAGGCAGCTTCCTCTTATAACTTAAAGCAACATAAGCAGGGCTTGACGAATGGCAGCGAAAACTCCTTGCCAGCCCCGTACCGCGCATGCGCAAGAGCCGCAATGCGCACGCCGCGAATGAACGGGGTGCGCGGCTGAAATCTACTCGCCACGGGTGAGTAGATTGTATTGTTTGTCGAGCCCTGATCATAAGGGTTTGGTTGTGTCAGGACCATGGGATGTGCCTGGAATGCGATTGCTTCTCAGGAAACCATACAGAAAAGAGAATCACCAGGGAGATGAAAGGGGCTGGCTGGAGCGCCCCCCACCCCATCTGTAACTGCCCCATCCCTGAGTCCCCCACCCCCCGAAAACTCTTTGCAGGGGGAGGTTGAAACACCCCCCGCCCCCACCAAATTCACGTGGGAACATTGCTGGCTGCTCCCCTTTGTCAAGACATGAGGGGGGAAGTGCCCAGTTTGCTGCATTCCTCACTCTGGCTGGGGACTGCGGGGGGAAGAAAAACCTGGACCTACCCCAGCTGGGGGATATGCACCCTCCCCTGGCTATGCCCACTGGAGCTACAGACATGGAGGTGCACTTCTCCCCTGGCCCCACACTGATGCTGTGAGAGAGGGCTGAGGTTCTCCTCTCTGCCCAGGGCAGCCTGCATATGAACCCCTCCTCCCCAGCCCCACCCCAGAGCAATGATCCAAATGAAGCCTGGACCTTTTAGTGGTTTTTTGGGGGGAGGAAGGGAGGAAATAAAATGAATTTAGTTAAGGACCCAAGCAATGCTGGATAAATCTCCCAGTACATAATATATGTCAACAACCACCTGCCCCTTCCCAGGATAAAAGTGTTGAATCCTGTAAGTTATTTACTAAGCAAAAGGACCATTTATATTCCAGGAAACGCTCATCCCACTATGAGTGGGACCATGCAGCCTGGCCTGTCCGCCTTCTTTATACACACTAGATACCCCACTGTACGTCTCCCCCACTGCCCTGCAAACGGCTGTGAGATGTGCCACTGCGGACAAAAGTGACAACCCCTGTACGTGTGCCCCTCCTGCTTCTACATGCAAGGGCGGCAGATATGAGGACTCACCCCTCTGGATGAGTATTCACCTCTCTGGATGCTCCTTCCATGTGGAGAAACTGTGGGATTGTGGAACACTGTTACGAACGTGAAACAGTTCTAAAGTTATGGTAACTTTCAAGGGATGGTAGGTGGAAGCATGGGGTCAGAGTTAAGGGTATTTGTGTAACCTTGCCTCGGAATTCCTTGATTTTTTTCCCCCTAATAAGAGAAATATTCTGAATATCTGGGAAGCCTTTAAAATTAAATGGTAACTTTGCTGTAGAACACATTGGAAATACAGGAAACAGAATGGCATACTGGTAGTTAATGCCCCCCTACAGTTAATTCTTCTTCTTTTGGCATGGAATGCTTGTATTTCCCCCCTTCACACTACCTGTAAAGCCTTTTGTTGGGGAATAGCTCAGTGAGTGAGAGGATATGATAATAAAATGTTCAGATTTAACTGGCATGAGACACATTAAATTGTCTTCATTATGGACCTAAAAAAAGAAAATTGGCCAATTAGCATGCAACGGTAAAAGGTAATGGATTTAACTTTGTTCAGGGTTATTATCTGCTATTTTATGAGCAGTTACCTGAGGAGAGAGACACCATCCTCACAAATGTGAGGCAGAAATTTAACTACCTGCATTCCTTTGCATTCCATGGTCATATGGAAAAGCCATGGGCAATCGGCTGCTATGCTGGTATTTGAAACCACAATCAAGTGCAAGCAGGCTAAGTTGAGTGCTTTGATCTACAGCTACCTTCTCAGGTGTCTTTTAGTCAGGGCTTTTCAGAAAAGAAGCTTTGCTGTGTTCCATGCACTGAACCTTTGGTAGGGCAGATTGGTCCATGGTACTGTGCTACCTTAGTGGAGATTTGCTTCAGAGAGAAATCAGGAGGATTAAAGATAAGTCGGTTTAAAGTCAGAGGTCATAGAATCCTAGAACACTAGAAGTGGAAGGAACCTCGAGAGATCATCAAGTCCAGTCCCCTGCCCTTACGGGTGCCACCAAATTTCCAGGCAGCGGCTCAGGCAGCAGGATCCTATTTTAACGGCTTCTGGTTGAGGCGCTACCCCAGCAGGGGCCAGAGACGCAAACCCTTTAAATAGCCACTGCAACCCCAGGCGGATGCCAGGCAATGCAGTAGCAGCAGCAGCAGCAGCAGGGCCAGGAACCACGAGCCCTTTACTATGTTTTTAATTCAAAGCCTCTGGCCCCAGACAACTCTGGGGAAGGGAGGCTGGTCCCCAGCCCCGCCCCTTCCACCGCAGGCCCCGCCCTTTCTGGGGACAGAGTTGGCCCATGATCACATACCAAAATTCAGTAAGTGGCCCCCCTGTGAAAATTATTACCACTACCCTGCCTGTGAACTAGATCATTCCTAACAGCTGTTTATCTAACCTGAAGATATGTTAACCCATCAGCTGGCCAAATTCCCAGGTAAGTTATTCCCTACGGCTGATCTAAAATCACCCCTGCAGTTCCTTTCGGAGTTGTGTTTTTCTGTTTCCTACACAGCGCGCAACAACACTACGGGAACGGTCACGTTTTGGCCCAGCCCAGAAGCGGCTGCCGATGTGCCAAGTGCTCTTGACATGGTTAAATATAAATCTAAAGTTTCCCAAGCCCTTGAGGATGGAAAGCTCGTTATGAGAGTAGTTCCAAATCGCTGCTTCCTAATAGAAACAATTACTTAAGCCAGCAAGGTAAAAGGTAGCAGGGACCATGTGTTTTCAGGCCGGAGTTGCCCTCTCTGCCTAGTGACATTCAGAGTAGCCGTCATGTCTGAATGCGGTGGCCTTTTGCTAAATGAACTTGTGATCCTTTGTAGGCCTATTTAAAATGGCTGGAACATGACGGGAAGGAGCCAATGTTACCCGGACTCGACCTGACTCACAAGCAACTTTTCTTTCTCAACTTTGCCCAGGTAGGAACCCATCGGCCTTTGCTGAGAGTTGCATGAAAAGATAAACGGGATTGTAATGCGTGGAAGCGTAGGGACCAGGAACGGGTCAAAACTCCCCTCAGCCTTGCCAGCCCCGAGGAAACGCCCTCTGATAGACCATTTTGGGCAGCAAAGAGCCCTCTGACCCAATGCAGGGATGGTTTAGCTACTACTATAGACAGGGCCAAAGTCTTTACTACACCTTCGCAAACCGTGCAGGACTGACACCTGGGGGGCGTGGGGGTTTGGGACAAGTGACTCCCCAATGACAGGAAGCTTCAAGAAGGTGGTTCATAGTGTTAACCCCTTGGGGCTTGACATCTTTAGTGAAATTCTGGCATCATTGAAATCAGTGACAAAACTCCCATTGGTTTCAATGAGGGCAGGATTTCAGCCATTGCAGCTCCATCTAACCCAATAGAGCAGCACTCACTCACACCGCTTGATCCAGGAGTTTTCCATATTCCTTCTTGTCTAGGTGTGGTGCGGTTCCTACAGACCTGAATACGCCAGTCAGTCTATAAAGACAGATGTTCACAGCCCTCTGAAATACAGGTGAGTCGGAAGGACTTAGACTAACAGCGCGTAACCCATTTCAGCCCATCAGGGACATGCATCACAGAGAGAGAATATTGAAGCTGGTTTATGGAGCTAGTGGCGGCTTGATTTACCTCCCTCTGTGCTAATTTCTGCTGGAAATCCACCACCCCACACACACCTGAAAAGAAACGCACTCCCTTACTGAGCTCAGGGCATTTGGCCACACGGATAAGCAGATCTGCATCCCTCCAGAACCTGCAATGGAAAAGCAGGATAAAGCACACAGATTATTAGGCAATGCAGCTTCTTCCATGAGTACCCAGACATTGGCTTTAAAGTCTGACACTTCACCTGAAAACGTAATTCTATTGCATCCTTCCACCTGACGGTTTGAAACCCAGCTTGAAAACAAACTCCCTAGGAGTCTTGTCTGTATAACTGACCCTCAAGGGAATGGGGTGGGGAGGGGAAGAGGAGAGTGATGCATGAGTATACACATATGGCTGTGTCTAGCCTGGCAAGTTTTTCCGCTAAAGCAGCTGCTTTTGCAGAAAAACTTGCCAGCTGTCTACACTGGCCACTTGAATTTCTGCAAGAACACTGATGATCTCATGTAAGATTGTCAGTGTTCTTGCGCAAATACTATGCTGCTCCCGTTCGGGCAAAAGCCCTCTTGCACAAATGCTTTTGCGCAAGAGGGCCAGTGTAGACAACGTGGTATTGTTTTGCGCAAAAAAGCCCTGATTGTGAAAATGGCGATTGGGGCTTTCTTGCGCAAAACCGCGTCTAGATTGGCACGGACGCTTTTCTGCAAAAAGTGCTTTTGCGGAAAAGTGTCCGTGCCAATCTAGACGCTCTTTTCCGCAAATGCTTTTAATGGAAAAACTTTTTCATTAAAAGCATTTACGGAAAATCATGCCAGTCTAGACTCAGCCATATCTGTGTATTTGAGGAAGAATCCTGCAAGCAAAGGAGGTAGGGAAGAGTATTTTAAAAGGTAGAGTCCTAATAACTGCAGTGAGCCCCTTTGATTTCATTGTGGGTCCGTGCAGACACAAGAGTTCACATTGCAGGAACAGGGCCTGTGACTAGACCAGGGCTGGGCAAGATGCGGCCCGGGGGACCGGATCTGGCCCACCTAACACTTTGATCCAGCCCCCGACTGCATCTGGCCACTTTCTATTTATATCCTGCTGCCTGTGCCTCTGAATTTCCAGGCGGTGGCTCAGGCAGCAGGATCCTATTTAAATAGCTCCCAGCTCCTGATCACGGTATGGGCCTTTTAAATAGCTGCAGCAACCCCAGGCGGCTGCCAGGCAACATGGTAGCAGCAGGGCTGGGAGCCCGAAGCCCTTTGCTGTGTATTTACTTCAAAGCTTCTGGCCTCAGACAACTCTGGGGGTGATGCCAGTCCCAGCCCCGCCCCGTTCACCCCAGGCTCCGCCCCTTCCACTCCAGACTCCACCACGTTGGGGGAGGGAGGTGGAGCCAGCCTGTGCCCATGTACCAGAATTCATTAAGTGGCCCCCCTATGAAAATTGCCTATCCCTGGTCTAGACTGTACCCAGTGTGGGTGCTTGACTTTGGCTGGCTGCTGTTTCAAGCTGAGGGCGGGACTTCCACTTCATGGAGTTTTTTGGTTGCTGGCCTCCCTTTGGCCTAACCACTAACTGTGCCACTACGGATATGGCATCAAGTCTTACACCTAGATCCTGCACCAGTCTACCCGCATATAGACCGACAGGCTCCATGCAGGGTCAAAAGCCTGCCAGCAGGACACAGACTGTAGAATCATAGCCTGAGGGAGACACGGGGGGGAGAAAGTCGACTAAAGATCGACTCCAGCTACGAGAATACCCGACGTACCTTAAGCCAAATTTCTTTGGCATCCCCACTGCAAGAGGCAGACGGGAGAAACTCTCCTGTCAACTTCCCTTACTTCTCACAACCCCACAAAGTATTGGGGTTGATGGAGGCACCATCAGTGGTCAATTTAGCAGGTCCTTATTAGACCTGTTAAATTAAACCCTGGGAGATCAATCTCCAGAGCATTGAACTCTGGATAAGTATAAACAAGGCCTAGACTGTATAAGCCCTCTGGGTCACAGACCGTGCCCTGCCCAATAAGGACATGAGTGAGGCCTGGAGCCCTGTTTCTCTTAAGGGCATGCTTACTTGCTTCACTTGTGTCCTCTGCATGCTACCAAAATGCAGACAGTCCTGGGGGAATTCTGCAATGTTACTCTGGTTCCCCAAATGCAACAATTGCCGGATTCCACCAGGGCTAAAATAAACCCCTTTCTTTTTCTCCCTTGGGTTGTGTCTAGGGTGATGGGATCTTTGCAAAACTTTGAAGCCTTCTCAGAGGCATTCCACTGTAAGAAGGGCACATCCATGCACCCTGCAGAGAAGTGCAGAGTGTGGTAGCCAAAGCGAACAACGATGCTGAAGATATTACTTAGACGGCACCGTCTACAAACTGAACTCGTGTGGCTACTTGCTGAACAGTTCTAGCCAATGATGTGCCTGATGTTTTCCTGTTCAGTGCCAGCCACGGTGAATGGTGCAGCTACTGTAGTTAGAAATTAAAGATGCTACAGCTGTCAGGCTTTTGTGGTTCGGCTGGAATGTACGCAGGCACCTCGCAATGTTGTCTGACAGGGCTGTGTTGAACGTGACAGCACACTTCACAAGAAAACGACTGTTTCCACTGACATCCTGACTGTTATTAAGAGATCGCATCAGGGTTACAAAGACTAGCAATTTAAAAAGAAAAAGCAGATCTATTTTTCAGCAAGGAATATTAATTTTAATATGTCTTACCACACGCTCATCCCTGCGCGAGTCAGTAAATCTGTCTTGACTTTTCACCACATTAATTATTTTCCAGTATTCTAATTCTGCTTCTAGTGCACGTCCCCCCAGATCCAGGGGAGAGCTAGTTCAATATGTGTGCTGTCCATGTGCCACTGTCTGCTTGCACTTCAATGCCTGCTTTATTGTAAGAGATCGTAATTTGTCTTGATATTTTGCAGGGTGAGCTGTATGTTAAAATACTTGCTGGCTGCTGACTTAAAAGCAAAGCTGAGCCACGTTTCTGCACTTGTTTTGCTCGCCTGGGCACGTCTGAGCTGATCTCAACACAATGAGATCTAGAGGGACTTTTAAAAGAGGAGATGCGTTAGCATCGCCAGGTTCACAATTTTCTTCCCTTCAGAAGTATATTTGAGAGGACGCGCACTCTTCCAGTAAGAGTAAATCTTTAGAATATTTTTAGTGGCAAAAGCTTGTCGCTTGCTGTAAACAGCAAAACAGTTACACAGGGACACTACTATTTTTAATCCTGGGCCTCTTTATTTTGCTCTAGTCTGCTTTTAAAGATTGGATGTTATTACACTTTTAAAAATGCACAAGTCTTGTTCATTTTTATATAAATAAAAGTTGTATTGCAGCAAACGGCTCAGGCATTGATCTGTAGAAACAGGTCTGAGTTGCTTTCTCTGATGAATGTGAAAATGTCAGAGTAACCACAACCTGAAATGGGCAGCCCTTTACCTCGGACTTAAGAACGGCCATCTTGGATCAGACCCAAGGCCCATCTAGCCCAGTATCCTGTCTGCCGACAGTGGCCACTACCAGGTGCCCAAGAGGGAGGGAACACAATAGGAAATCATCATGTGATCCCTCTCCTGTCATCCATTGCCAGAAACAATCTTAAACAATTTTCACTGAAAATGTTTATTTTGGAGTGTATGTGCCACTGGAAAGCATAACTCCCTTAATTCTTCATAATCTAACATTTGGAATGCTTGTCTTCACACACCTCAGACCAAATTATTAATTTACTTTCTAGCTACTTAATTTATAATTAAGAAAAGCTTTTATTTTTATGGTTTGTGACTTGCATCCAGTGTCAGTCTTGTTTTGGAAGTTCTGTTTTTTAGTGTCCATCTAACAAGCAAGTGTCATTAACAAAATAAACTTAATTCCATCAACTCTTTAAAAATATGATCTTAGAAGAATCTTCAGAAGTAAAGTCATGGAATTAAAAACAAAAGAAACTGATGGACTTCACTAAAGTCATACTTCATTAAATCGGTACTATGAATACTGTGGTAGCATGGAAGGAAATTAAAGTCCCAAGCCAGTAACAGCTTTATATATATAGTGAAAGGTAAGTGTCTAGTTGTCACTGAGATATTTTGCAGTAGTATGGTCTTAGCAAATTAATTATGGGCACGCTTTACATGTTCATGTAAGGCATTACCTTTTCCTGGCCAAATGAAGTTCAACTGCAAATTAATGAGAGCATGTTACAGCTGAGAGCCTGCAATTCATTTATCTTGAATTTCTACATTAGACGAGTTCATTTGATTTCTTATACACACGCCCATTTATAAAACCTATATTATCAGGATCTAATCTCTCTCCTGTGTACCACAAAGTCAAGGGGAATTGTGTACTCTTTGTAGTAACATGCGCAGTTGCCTTCCCTTATGTCCATGAGCTCCTTCGGTCGTTAATTAATGCCTGATCCCCCAGATAAAGTGAAACTGCTCAGCACCATACAGCACCAAAACGGTGGCTATTCACTTGGGCTAGGTCTACACTGGCAGCTTTTTTCACAAGAACATCTTGTGCAAAGTGCTATGCCTTGCTAGAACATCTTGTGCAAGGCTTTTTGTCCTACAACTCTTGCACAAGATTACCTCCACACTGCCATGTGCTTTTGCACAAGAGCATCCATGGCAGTGTGGACGCTCTTTTGCACAAGGAAGTTCTGACGACCATTTTAGCCATAGGGCTTTCTTGCACAAGAAACCCCTGCTGCCTGTCCACACTGCCCCCTTGCGCAAGAGCTCTTGCACAAGATGGCTTACACTTGATAGAAAAGAGCATAGCTCTTGTGTAAGAAGCCTTCTCTTCCTACGCTTTACTGTAAATCTTCTTGCGCAAGAGCAGGCGGGCAGTGTGGGCGCTCTGCAGAAGAATGGCCATTCTTGCGCAAGAACCCGCCAGTGTAGACGTAGCCTTGGGGTTATTCCAATAATTGACGTTATTCCAAAATAACTGAGTGTCTACACAGCAATTCTGTTATTTTGAAATAATTTCAAAATAACAGACAGCTTATTCCATCTTTTGTAAACCTCATTCTATGAATAATGCCTATTCTGAAATAAGGCGAGTGTAGACGCTCCACTGCTGCTATTTCAAAACAGCCCCTCACCAGGGCTATTCTAAGTTATTCCTTCTGGGGTTCTAAGTTGAGATAGCACCTCTACATTCGGGGAGCCTGCCTCAGACTCATTTTGAGGCTTCCCTGCAATGTAGACATGCTGTTTCAAAATAATCTATTTCAGAATAGCTATTCCAGAATAACTTATTCCAAAATAACTGTGCAATGTAGACATAGCCATGGGTACTGCAGGAGATCTAAACAAGGAGAGGGTGAAGCTCTTTGTAATATGTGGCTGTGCGCTACTTTCAGACTTAGCTGTATTACTTATTGGCCCTCAAACACACGTGGCCATCTGCACTAGAGATGCTTGCACAGGCAGAAGTAGTGAATGCACACCTAAGAATGCTCTCAACTTCTAGTGCTCCTGATTTGGTCTTTATACACAGCCGCTAGAGAGAATGGGGGATTTAAGACCCAACGTGGTCCAATGCACATTGGAGTATTTAGATCAAAACAGACTGTAAATAAATAGAAGTCCACAACTAGATTCAAGCCACTAATGAGGTTGGTAGAATACAAGCCAGATTTTTAAAGGCATAAAAGTGCCTAACTCCCACTGGGAGAAAAAAATCAATGGGAGTTAGGATCCCAAGTATATTTGAGAAGCTGGCCTTTGAAAGCCTCGCCCCATGAGTCTAGAGGCACAGAGCCAGACAGCTGAGTCTACTGACGAGCTTCACTAGTTTTATTTTGAAAGAAAATGGGTCTCTCCTGCCCTCCTGTAAGATGCAGAAAACAAAACCTTCATTGAGTCAATGGCCTAAGGGTCTACTTATTGAAATGACAGCTGCAGGTGCCCACCCTGGCTGACAGGCGCTCTCTGCAGAGTCCTCTTTGGGGTAGTTTTCAGAGACAAAGCATTTTGGGGCACCCAGCACATCTTCCTATCACCAAGACACTTGGTCATTTTTACAGGGGGGAAGGGCTTAGCTTGGAGGATAATATACTACATGTGGTGAAGCATCTCTGTGTTTATTTGGCAACTTTCAGTTAGCCTTCATGTTAAGAACCTGGATCTCATCCTTGGGCTGTTAGATGTTCAGTTAAGGCAAGGCAGATGACTAACCACCAGGAAGGTGGTTTAGTTGAAGAAAATGGGGGTGGATAGCCCCTTGCCTTGTTAAAATTAAGCACCAAGCCCCAATAGCATTGTTTGTTAACCTCTCAGTTAACATACAGTTCTTATGCCTGGTGCATAAGACATTAGTTTCCACTCCGCACTTTGTGACTCTATAGACAATGGGTACCATCCAACATGCTACTGCAGCTAACGTTCAAAAGTGAACCAGACCCCGTACTCTCCCATTTTATGAAGTGCTAGGCCATATGTTGACACCTCTACCAGGATCAAGGCACTGGTATACCACCAGAACCCAGACGTCTTCTCAGCTCTGCACTACGACAGCTTGCAAAATATTTTAATTCTCAGTTTAAAAAAACCAAAAAAAACCAACTTGACTGCTTCTTTAAGACTGGTTTCTACTCCCTTCACAGCGAGGTGATTTCCTGTTCAGCTGATAAATTAACCTGAAATGCAGATATGATGCAGTATAAGACTCAAGATCGTCCTCTCTTGACAAGCAGGGATGTTTCTAAAAAGATCTGCTCTGCAAATTATTTTGAGGGAAGCCCATGTCTTTAGTTAGAGAGGAGATCAAGATTCCATGATCACACTGGTCTCTTGGAATCTACAGCTAGGCAGGCTTGGCAATTGCTCCTAATTCTGATGTTGTAGCCTCTTCAGGGCACGACCCTTGTCTTTGCAAAGTGCTATGCCTTGCTAGTGCATAGTAGAAATAAAGCATCTCCCCCTTCTTGGCAGGTAAAATGCTGTAGGTTTTGCTGCATACATACCAGGCAATTAATCTACATCATATTTAAGTGCATCATTAGTGTGTATAAGTCAAGCTGGTATTTCTCCGACTGTTCCCTATTCCTGCAGTTTTTAATTAAATGACTAGTTAAAGAGGAGTGTAAGGCACTCTCAGAAAGCAGCTTATCAGCAGCTGTATATGGTAGTAGGCAGAATAATAAACATGAAAATAAAGCAACAATTGTCCATTTTCACCTACATTTTCCAGACCAGGAAGCCTAATGCAATAAGGTCACATAACGAAGAGAACACACACACACACACACACACTAAAACTACGCTCTTGGGTACATCTCCAGAGAGAATGTTGCTCTTTGAATGGCCCTTGCTGACCCCAAAAGCTGCCTTTGCTCCAAGCCCCTCAGTTAACACGCTCTGACTTCAGGAGGCGGCGGTCGTGAGCAATGTTTTCTCTGGGTTTGGTCATTCTTTGCTCCTCAGAGCTTGGATTCAGTAACCCTAAAAGCTCATGTTCTTGAGCTTTCCTGGGTCGCAAGAGGATTCAGGGCGAGCGTTGGGGCTTCCTCCAGAGGAAGAGCTTGAAGGACAGGTCGGGTGATACGGTAGCGCTCGGCTCTGTGCAAGTCAGGGCTATAAAGCAGGCTTTCCCCAGCGCCTTCTGAACAACACGGGGGCCTGTGAAACATCATTTACCACCAGTTTATTTCTCTGCATCATTGGGGGAAAAAAACCTCTTGAAGCTGCAGCAATTGGATTTGCGCTATTCAGAGCAGATCTGTGTGCGCACAGCCTGGCAGGGGACAAGAGCATATGGTGTAGATGTTGACTCCCCAGGCTAAGGCTAAGCCCCTTGGTAAGGTGAAGGGGCAGCTCTGTGCTGGCAGAAAAGGTGGGGCCTCAGGCAAAAGGGGTGGGGCTTCTGGCAAGGAGGGGGGGGGCTGACGGCAGCGGGCCTTCAACATGACCCAGACCCACCCCCAGCACTGCCTGGAGCATGCCACTCAGTGCCCCCGCTTTCCCAAGGAAGTGCAAGAGCTGCCCTAAGTGCTCTGGTGGCAATTTAAAGGGCTCAGGGTGCTGCTGCAGGAGCAGCTGGGAACCCCGGATCCCTTTTAATCACTGGGGCCCAGGACAACTGCCCTCCCTCCTAGTGGCAGGCTGGGGTTCTTATTAGCTGGAAAAGCAGTCTGTTTGGGGTGGATGCATCAGCATGGTCACTCACTGCCCTTACCCCCCGAGGAGGTGTTCCCATAGCTGGGGTTGGCTAAGGAATAGACTCCAGCAGCCATCGGACCATCCTGACACTGCCCCCCCACTTCAGAAAGGTGGTGTCCAGACACTATGCCCAGCGTCAGTGGCCAGGCTCTGCTGCCAGGCCTTAGAGAACGTGACATTAACACAGCTGGGAAAGGTACATCGCCACCACCTCTTAAAGCGTCCCCGCAGAGCAGGGGAAACATGGGCAGAAAGAGGACTTCTATCCCGGGAAGAAAGCTAACGGGGACGTTTACGATGCGCAGTGGCCATGAGTAAGAGGGGATCTCCTCCCAGAATCCTCAGCGCATAAGCTTAGATCACATGACCAGCAGAGGAACAAATGATCCAATGGGAAAGCCAGCCTATTCGCTGCTATTGGTTGCAGCACGGCGCAACGGAGAAAGCTTTGTTGTGCTGGTCCAAGACAGTCTGACACCAGTTTGCCGAAGGGCGTTTACTCACACGTCAGTGCTTTGGCTATTGTACAAAGGTACGGCTAGATACAGAGGGGTGAGGTTTCAACCGCTACCGAGTGGTAGAACTGGGAAGGTCGTCACGCCAGCTTCTTAAAGAAGTCCTGCTTGTCTCCTGCTTCATCTGGTACAGGCCTCTTCGTCGCACTGTAAAGAGACAGAGAGCACGTTATCCAACTTGCTCCCTCAAGCCCAAGTGGGCAGGGGAGCCACCCAGGAAGTCCTACACACACAACTGTTTTGCTACTTTTATTTCTCTGTCCTGGTCCCCCTTTTCTCCTAGCTTCTCTAAATCACCAGGTTAGGCCTCTGCGTCATCTCATGGCCTCCCTAGAGGCCCTTGTGCCTGGAATCCACTCGGAACATGCCAAACCTCAAGCCTCAAAAGCCATTCCCACCAGTTCAAGCAAACCCTAACCAGCCTTCCTGGGCTCTCTCAAGAGCGTAAGAATGGCCATACTGAGTCAGAGCAGAGGTTCACCTAGCCCAGTATCCTGTCCTCTGACACTGGCCAAATCCAGGTGCCCCAGAGGGAATGATCAGAACAGGGAATCATCTAGTGATCCCACCCTGTCGCCCATTCCCAGCTTCTGACAGAGGGTTAGAGGCACCATTTCTACCCATCCTGGCTAAGAGCCATTGAGGGACCTATCCTCCATGAATTTATCTAGTTCTTTTTTGAACTCTGCTCAACTCTGGCATGGAGTCCCACAGATTGACTGTTCACTGTGCGAAGAAAAACTTCCCTTTGTTTGTTTTAAACCTGCTGCCTATTCATTTCATTTGGTGACCCCGTAGTGCTTATGTTATGGGAACAAGTAAATAACTTTTCTTTATTCATTTTCTCCAGGCCTGTCATGATTTTACAGACCTCTATCCTATCCCCCCTTAGTCTCCTCTCTTCTAAGCTGAAAATTCCCAGTCTTTTTAATCTCTTCATATGGCAGCTGCTCCAAACCTCTCATCATTTTTGTTGCCCCTTTCTAAACTTTTTTCCAATGCCAAGAGATCTTTGGAGATGAGGCGGCCACATCTGTCCGCTGTATTCAGGATGTGGGCGTCCCATGGATTTATACAGAGGCAATAAGCTATTCTCTGTCTTAGTCGCTATCCCTTTTTAAACAATTCCTATCATTGTCTGCTTTTTTGATGGCCGCTGCCCATCGAGTGGCTGTTTTCAGAGAACTATCCACAGTGACTCCAAGATCTCTCTCAAGCGGTAGCAGCTAGTTTAGTCCCCAGAGTCAGGTTGCTTTCCCACCCCTGAAAGCACAGACACCCTCAAGTTGGGCGCTTCCTTATGCTGCAACAATGGCTGCCCTCAACTTTCGGATTGCCCCTTTCCTGCATGAATTCTGAGTGTACGGGGGCAAACCATGGCAGACCAATCCCTGTCTCCCAAGACCAGCTCCTCTGGCCTGCTGCACAAACAGAGCAAGAGGCAGGTGTCTGACAGCCACAGCAACACTATCCGCCTAGAATTGGTTATGCTAGTCAACAGGACTGATCCCAGAGTGAACAGCCTCGGCCTGTTTCTGCAAGAACACAAAGTAGTTTACACACGTTCCCCTCATTTGCAAGCAAACCCCAGAGTGCTACAAGTTCACAGTAACTCATGGGATGGAGGGAAATTTGTGTTTTGACCAAGGAAGTCAAAAAGCCCCATTTTACAGGCTCGGAAGAGTCTGGACATGAATTTGTCTCTATCATACCCTTCATTGACCCGTGGTAGCAGCCTGGCATCTCAGGAAAGAGCCTTGTTTTCTTGGGACACAGACACTGAAGGGGAAGCGTTCGACAGCTGTACTGGGCAGGGGGCAATTTAATGGTTGACAGTTTAGTTACTTTAGAATTTAATGATTGTGCAGAAAAGTGCCATTCGCAAGCCTGGCACCCTTGTGACAAGGGATAACGCACACGCGCCAAGGAGGAGCGCGTGCCAAGGCACCCCGGCGGATGGACGTTACTCCTGCATTTCTCACACGCATCAAGGAAGCCTCCTGCTGGCAGATAAATCTTTGCATCTGTGAGTTTGAATCAGGGCCAAGCATTCAAGCCCAGGCAGTCTCCCCACCTCCCTTTTCAGGCCTATTGCTGCTCTGCCCGTCTAAAAGCACTTTCCTCTGGCAATCCGAGGCACTGTGGGCCTCACTGGAGCGGCCATCGTTGACCCTGACACGACGAACCTGTGGGAGGACAGTGGGAGGCTAAGCTGTTAGTGCCGTATACTCCGGGGGAGGCACTAACACAGCCTGATCCTTCCTCTCCTACCCACCCGAGGGAGAGCCCGATGCCTTTGGCAGTCAGGCACCAAGGCTTTCCTAAGAAGTCTCTGATGCGGGGAGAGAGTTGGTGGCACCTACAAATCTCCGCGGCCAGGCAGCTATTTGAGTGAATGTTCTGGAAAGCTGAGGGCAGTTTAGGAGCAGGCAGACTGCATTACGCTGTGCTCGGGTCCCAAAGAGCATTAGCCTTACGAGCCGCCCAGCGATTCGCTAATCCTCTTTGGCAGCAAGCCCACCAGAATCTCGCTGTCCTGGCCCCACCTCGGCCAGAGGGTTCCCCACGCACACAGCCGGTGGTGAGAACGCTCACCAATTTTCGCTCCCCAACAGTAAGCGGAGGAAAGGTTATAATGCTGACCCACTAGCAGTCACTCCAAGTGGAGTGGTGTATTTACACACGCTGTACAACGTTAAATATAAGCAGTCTGAGGGGGACTTGAATTCAGACAAGGAGTGGACGAGTCAACTCCATCAGCCAGATGGAAAGAGGGCCCCTGGAAATGGGGCTGGGGCCTACTCAAAATCACCTCAGAATGTGGGTAACTAACCACAGAATGTCCTAAACTTACAGTTAATTATAAGATGAGCATCGCTCAGGCCGACACCTCCATGCCTCCCCCCCTCCCCCGTCACACATCCCCAGGTGAGGGGCTAGGAGCTGCCTCCCAGGGGCACTCGCTGTGGGGCAGGGCTGTAGGGGGGCAAGAGGGGTGGGGAAAGCTTATGGGATGCAGGACATTGGGTCCATGTTCAGGAAGGGAGCTGGGAAATACGGGGGGGGGAGGGGAGAGTGAGGGGCTCTGTGGAGTCTGCATCTGGGAGAGGGTGTCCTGGTCTCTGACCCCCACCCTGCTGCTGCCTCCTCTCCCATTCGGCACCCGGATGTGGGGGAAGGGCGAGGGCACTTGATCTCCCCCAGCCCCCTGGCCGACAGGATCAACAGCTCCGGGAGCCCCATGCTGAGAAGCATCCTTCAGCCAGCAAGATGTGCTCTGCTTTCTCCCCACACAAATTCTGAAAATGAAAATGCCAGTTGTTCAGTGCTTATCTGAATACTAGCGTGAGGGGGATGTGCTAGGCCACTGGTCCGGTTCCCCACTCCCTGCAGCCTGGCCCTTGACTGCAGTTCTTACAACACTGTGCCCCTCGGATCTCGGCGACAGCCCTGTTTCTGGTAGCGAACGGAGAGCTCAGCTGGTCTACGTGACGCAGCAGCGTGCGCTACAGCCCGTGACTTCGAGAGCGAGCACTAACAGGCGTGTGCCGACCCTGCTAGAGCACGCTGAGGCCCCTGGTGCGTTTTAACGTCCTGTTCAAATTCATCTTTTGGCAAACAGTAGCAGCGTCTACTTGCGTGGTATGAAACAGCACCACGAGAACGCCCAGCCGGGAGCTCACGCTTAGGCTCTGAGCCTTCATTGGCAAAACCCGCTTCTTCAGAGGAGTTTGAGACTCAAGTTCATCTGCAGTGGGTTTTGCCTGCGAAAGCGCAGGATACCATCTCCATTTGTGTTACTCTCCAAGGGTGCGTCTACTCAGCACCCGAAACTCGAAAGAAGATACGCAAATTGCACATTATTTCTATTGTATTGCAAAATTTGGTGCATCTACACAATGCGTTATTTTGAAATTTGGCGCTACTTCGCCACATCCCTCGTGGAACGAGGGTTACAAGGAGGCCGAAATATTTGAAAGTTATTTCGAAATAACAGGCGTGTTTCAAAGATGTGGGATACCTCCGGTATCGTGAAATAGCCCCGCTGTCCAGACATACCCTGAGGTGCCACAGGACCACTCGTTACAGACTAACACGGTTCCCCCTCAGACTCTCAGGCCCTGCAACACTGATCACTTAGCGCACTTCAGCGGACACATGGTGGAGCGCACGTTCCTGTCCCCTGGAGACGGGCTGGGCTGGCACAGGGCTCTGAGCTAGAGCTAGGCCAGGTGCGGCGTGAGCTGGTGCCAACGGATCCCTGCGTGTTTGAAGAGGTAGCGCAGTTCCCATCGGAGGAAGCAGCAGCTCTTACCTGAGGTTTCGCGCCCTCTTTAACGCTTGCCGAGATCCCGAGGCTTTTGAGGATGGTTTCCAAGGGAACATAGTCACCAGGGGAATCCTGCGCCAAGTGCAGGAGCAGCTTCTCGCCGCCTGAAAGAACAGGAAGGGCAGAAAGGTCACGACGAGGGACAACCAGCCGTCAGCCAGGCAGAGAGTGGACACATGCCAAGGAGCCACTGACGGGCAGCCAGGCCCGCCCACTTCCAAAGCAGGGCAGCTCACCTTAGGGATGGGAAAGTTAACCGGGAAGGGAGAGGCTTAGCAGGGGGAGGCTTTCTGGTTCCTATGAACCAGTGGGGTCTGGGCAACCCCCCGCCTGCCCAGAGCAGCCCCCATCTGTGGTGGACTCAGGCACATGGCAGGCAGGAGCTGCTCCCCCTGCGCGGAGCAACACCTCCTGTGTTGGGGAGGGGGTCCACTCCAGCCCGGCTGTAGTGGGCTACCCCAACTCGAACACCCCACCACCACCACCACCTCTTCATCGGCTAAGGATCACATTTAACTGGTTAACCAATGAAATGGGATTTTACATGCCTAGCTCCCGGGCACGCCAAGGAGAGCGAACCAGACAGCACCACACTCCTAGGGGGGCAGATCAGACCCAGGCAGCCGGTCCCAGGCCACACTAGAATCGCTGCAGCGGCACAGCCTTGCCAAGGTAGCGGTAGTGCTGCTAGCGCAGACGCTGGGCTGACGGGGGAAGAGTTCTCCTGTTGACGTCACGATGCCACCGCGGCTACATCCGTGGGAGACGCTCTCCCCCCCCTGCGCACACTGTACCAACTAGCAGGGTGGCTGGGGAAGCGTAGATCACTCCGGGGACACCCGAAGCAAGGATACCAAAGCAGCACGAGTGTGCAGGAACCCCCAGCAAACTGGCCTGACCCACGTGCTCACGTCAATGACAGCTGCAGCCGCTCTGGAGTGGGGAGACGCTGGACGCCCTCTGCTACAGGTTGTAGGAGGTTTCCTGCAACTCCAAAGCCCACATGTCCCTACTGGCTTGGCAAACAGCCCCCCCTTATTGCTCAGCTCCACGCGGTTGCCAGCTCCCCGCTGAAAGGGCAGGAAGACGGCTCTGCTGCAGAATGGAGGGCACCCGGACAGACAGGTTGAAATTCTAATCTGGACTCCCTAGTCCGGCAACACCCCTCGTCCGCCATCACTGGGGTGGCCCCGTGGGAGTATTCACGGGGATGAGCTGGCAGGCTGGGGCCAGGACCATTTCCAGTCTGGAGTGCAGGGGGAAGCAGGGCCTGCTGGGCCAGGACCAGGGAGGTTCAACCTGCAGTGTCACTTGAAACTTCCTCTTCACAATAAAAGCCTTCTACAAACCCGGATGTTAGCCTGGGTCTCACGCCCTGCACCGGGAGGTAAGCCGTTCCACACACCCACGTGGGACAGGTGCACTCTGGATTGCCTGCTGCTTTACAATCCAGCATCTAAATATTAGCAACAACGGTTTTAGTCCCACAGAAGGGGCAGCATTTTAGCTAGGGAGCGTTTGGGGCTTTGTTAAGACCTTGTTTTAAGGAAGCGTTTGGATGCTTTTTACCATGCTGCCCCCTGGTGGTAAGAACTGGGCCCGGCTTGTAAAAAACGGGAACGCAGCGTTCGAGAAAGCTACGAGAGGTGGGGGCAGCGTAGACGTCAGCACGCCCGGATCTTAAATAGGCTGAAGGACACTGAGCTACAGACAAATCCCATTGCGAGATGAGCCAGGTGTCAGCATTAGCTGCACTGTCTGAGTTCCAGCCAGAAGAGATTTCCCTCCGAGACCATCCAGGGGTGGGGAAGTCTACGGCCAGGGGGCCAGACTCAGCCCCCAGCTTGTGTGAGCTGGCCCCTGAGGCTTGGGGCTCTCCCCCACCCCCAGGATTGGGGAGTCCATGCTGGTGCTCCAGCCCTGCGGCTGCCCCACAGCCCACACTGCAGCACTGTGGGTCGGAGTCAGCCAAGCCAGGGCCGGATCTGTGATAGGTGACATGGAGCCATGTGTGTCCCTGGGGAGCTGTGCCAGGAAAGCCCTCCCCCAGAGCCTCCACCCCCAGCCTGTTCCTGCACCCTCCCTCCCATCCAGACCCCACACTCCTGCTTCCCGGCAGATCCCTCCCACATATTGAACCCCTCAGTTTTGGGCTCATCCCAGAGCCTGGGGGGTGGGGGCACAAAGTCTACTGGTGACATGGAGCCATGTGTGTCCCTGGGGAGCTGTGCCAGGAAAGCCCTCCCCCAGAGCCTCCACCCCCAGCCTGTTCCTGCACCCTCCCTCCCATCCAGACCCCACACTCCTGCTTCCCGGCAGATCCCTCCCACATATTGAACCCCTCAGTTTTGGGCTCATCCCAGAGCCTGGGGGGTGGGGGCACAAAGTCTACTAGCCTCCCCCCCCCCCACAGACTCTGGGGTGCAAGGGGAATGTGGGGAGTATCTTTCTGCTTCTCAGTCAGGGAGGGGTGGGGGTGTTCTGGCGTCTCACTTTTGTGCGGCCCCCTTCCCACACCCAACTGATCTTTCTGGGGGTCAGAGGCCCCCGACCCATAACAGGTTCCCCACCCTTGAATGCAGCCTCTTGCTAACTGCATGGTTTCAAGACTGTGGAAACCAGATGCATGAACCCCCATGCAGACCTGCCAAGCAGGGCTTGTTCGAGGGCAGATCTCAATTTGTAGGCAGTAGAGACCCTGCTTTTTCCAGGGTCTGAGAAAACCATAAAAGAGACATAACGGGCCTAATGTATTTCCCTACCCGCCCCCTCCTAGTTATCTGGGAAACCTCCCCACCCTCGAACCAGTGGTCTTGATTTCTCTAGGCAGAGGTTCTTTGACCAGCCAAATTGCTCTGAGTGGGTTGTCTAGAAACTTGTGTCCTTCACGAGCAGCTATAGGGATGTCAAATCCCAGGTACTTGGTTAACCGGTTCAATGTAGCGTTGAAGCAGTTAACCAACGAAGTGGGGCTGGGAGCCAGCAGCCCTGCAGTGGGGCCCGGTGGGGCTGGAGCAGCCGTCCACCTGTGGTGAGCAGGGCCCGTTCGCATCCCTAGCCAGTTCCCCGTCGTCTCGACGGAGGGACGCTCCTTTGCTCACCTCGACTGACTACGATCATCCCTCCACTCTGCAAGAGGTCGCCGCTGAAGTTGCCCTGGATGCCGTCTGCATTCGCCTGAGGGGAAATAAAGCCCGAGTCCCTTGCAAGTGTGACACAAAGGCCTCATCCTGAGGCTCCTCAAGGCCACTCCAGCCTGTGGGACACCAGGGTCCCGCGTGCACCCACGGAAGTCCCGCAAGAGCTTCGCACAGGTGTGGGCAGGCCTTCAGCGGGTGCCTTGCCGCCGGTCCAGCCCAGGGATTACCAAACAATGAGTCGCGGCCCAGCACCGGGTGAGGGAATGCCAGGCCCTGGGTCTCGTTGCTGCAGGGGATCAGGTGAGCAGTGGGGGGGCTAAGGCAGCTCCCTGCCTGTACTGGCACCACAGGCTGCGCTTGGCCTTGGAAGCGGCTGGCAGCAGGCCCGGCTCCTAGGCGGAGGGGGGAAGAGCCCTGGACCCCCAAGCTGGAGCCCCCTTCTACACTCCAAAGCTCCCGCCCTCAGCCCCACCCCGGAGCCCACCCTCCAGTCAAACTATTTTGAGCTGCAGCAGCAACAATTTTCATCACTTAGGTCAGGAGGGGAGGAAAAAAAAAAAAGGTTGAAACCCCCCTGGGCTAGCTGGGCTAGTCTCTCACCTTGGTGACGACTTCTCGAACAGGTTTCCCCAGAGCAGCGGGAACGATACTCAAGACATTGTACCTGGGGAGGAGAATGAACGTTCACACTGGCCACCTGAAAAGTTGGTGCAGGGGGAGGAGACACAGCTCTGCCGGGTAATTCAGATTAGTCAATGGAGTTGGGAGCAAATCCTCCGCTGGCGTCAAGACTCAAGCCCTCTCAGGGAGATCCACTCGCTTGTTACAGGACGCTGGCTATGGAATGTTGTCACAGACCAACACTGAAGACAGACACCCCCCAAAGACCCAACGTGCACGCTCTATCCTGCCCTTGAGGACCGACTGTTTGGGCATCAGTTAATTCGGACTCCATGGGATGGTGGCAGCGCTCTGCCAACACAATCTGGCTCCGGAAAGGGTCCGCCTGCTGGGAGAACTGTAGGCCATTTCTCTACACCCGCACAGGGCAAGCGGTGTAACGGACAAGCCTGTCCTCTTGGCACGTAGGGGTATAACCAGGGAGACAGGCAGAGCTAGGGCTAGACGCAAGGCTCTGAGAATTCAGAGGTCAGGACCGAGGCAGGTATTAAGCTAAGCAACAAATGCAACTGCCCAGGATCACCTTTTCCACGCCTCCTCCAGCCAGCGCAGCTGAGTGTGTGACAGGCGACTGGCTTTGCATGGGAACGTTGTAGTGAGGGATCAGTAAGGAAGGGAGCCCCTGAACCTCAGGGCTGTAGCCAGAGTAGCTGCCGAGCGACCAGATGGGAGAACGTGCTCGTTAGCCCGAGTCATGCTGCCCCCGGTTGCACAGGATCGGCACAGGCCTTGCACCCAGCCTCTTCCTCCCTTGGGGCAGAGGAGCTGGTGGGCAGGCTGCATGGCCAGCAGCAGCATGTGCCCCAGGGGAGAAGAGAGTTGGATGTGACAACGCCCCACTGAGCCATGGGACGAGCGAGTTCTAGTAGCCTGGCACAAGGCCAGCCAGAGCCACTGGATCTGGGATCACTCTGGCGTGCCCAGTCACCGAGTTCTGTTTTCCTCTGAGCCCCGTACGTTTGCTCAAGCCACGCAGAGCTGGTTCAGGGCAGCTGCCACAGGCCCTGCAGTCTGGGGAGCCCCACGACAGCCACCTCAATTGTCCTAAGATTGCCACTCCCACCACCATTCCCTGTAGCATAGGGGAAGGAACCAGAGCAGCCCAGTTCACTCCGCCTCACCGCCCGCTCCCGGCCTGCTGCCAGTGGCATCTCCGCCACAGCAGGAAGCAGGGTGCTCTGGCCCCACGGCGCTCGGTTTCCCACTTCCCTCCCAGCTCAGAGCACAGCAGGCTGCCGGGCTGCCCTGGCTCCAGCCACCGTGGTCAGCGTGCGGGGGGCTGCCCTGTGCCTGGCCACCAGAAATCCCCCAGTCACATGGGGAAGGAGGCAGAGCAGAGGTGGGAAGGGGTATGGTGGGGGCAGGGCCTTTGGGGGGGGACGGGGCTGCCCTGGGTGCCCTGTTCACACATTAACGATTATCAAAGTAATAAAGCAATAGGCAGGAGCTGGCGTCCCAGGTGGGTCTGTGTGGAGGGAGCCTTGAGGTTTATCACAGGGCAGCCCTTTCCCAGACCTACCCTGAATTCAGCTCTGCCCCAGAGCAGGGGGGTGCTGTGTCCTGCTACACCGGGCCCCACCCTCCTTAGCCTCCTTCACGTGGCTCGGAGGCAGGGCTGAGGTCACCGCAGGCCGGGGACAAGAGAACAGTAGGAGCCACCCACCTTTTGAAACCCAGGTCATTGTAGCACTTCTTGGACTCGTCCAGGTAGAGCTCTGGGGGGAGGAACAGGGAGGTTAACAACCCCGCCGGGGTCTCCGCAGTATTTGCATCATGCTCGGAGAGCTCCGGGACAGCCAGCCAAGCAGCTAGTGGCAACCACACGCCTAGTCTCCAGGCACAGCGCACAACACCCCTTTATCAGGCAAGACCAGGGAACCGACAGCTTCCACAGGCCCCCCAAGCGAGGCGACCCAAGGGCTCAGCACCGCAGTGCTGGGCCCTCCGCTACACAGCCCTCAGAGCCGCCCGGAGCAGTGTGCCCACAACGATTTGAAGGGCCTGGGGCAACTGCCTCCCCTTTGCCCCTCCCATCACTAGGCCCGAGCCAGATACTGCCTCTAACCTAGTTGCTGCTGCTCCCCGCCCCCTTGGCCCAAGCCTATAATCCACCGGAGACAGCTCCCCTAGGAGCACCCCGGGCGCATCAGCACCACGTGCTGCAAGGCGCACTCCCCAGTAGGAGCTGCCTGAGGATTCGTGGCGCCGTTTTCCACCGGAGGGTGCACTGTGACTGTTCCCCAGGGAATGGACCATTGGCTTGGATTGCAGCCAGGTCCATTTGGGGGTATGGACAGAAAAGCTGCCATCAGAGGGGTGGTGGGGATCCAGGAGGAAATCAGGCCAAGAGTGGGCCAGACTTGCAGCCGCAAGTACATAAGAACAGCCATACAGGTCAGACCAACGGTCCATCCAGCCCGGTAGCCTGTTTGTGGATAGTGGCCAATGCCAGATGCCCCAGAGGGAGGGAACACAACAGGTAATCCTCACGACCCCTTTCCTGCCATCCATTTCCAGACAAACAGAGGCTAGGGACACCATTCCTACCCATCCTGACCAATAGCCATTGATGGATCTAACCACCATGAATCTATCTAGCTCTTTTTAGAACCCTGTTCAAGTCCTAGCCTCCACCACATCCTCTGGCAAGGAGTTCCACAGGTTGACTGTGCGCTGAGTGAAGAAAAACTTCCTTTTGTTTCTTTTAAACCTGCTGCCTATTCATTTCATTTGGTGACCCCTAGTTCTTAAAATGTGGGAATAAGTAAATAACTTTTCCTTAGTCACTTTCTCCACACCGGTCATGATTTTATAGACCTCTATCCTATCCCCACTGTGTGGGCAAGTCCCCAAGGCCCCCACCTAGCGCAGAATCAGGAGGGCAGCACATCCGGCCGGGAAAGGCTATGCTTGGGGCACTGTGGCTATTACCCAGATGACATGGGTCACAGGGGCCACACGCAAGCTAGGGCAGCCCCAGGAGATAGGGGCTCTACCCGCCAACTTGTCTGGACTGTTAGCAGGTAAATTATCTGTTCCATCTCCTCTTTCGCTGCAACACCAACTACCTTCCCTAGAGCTGAACAAGGGCTCCAGGAAGCTCGAAAGCTTGTCCCTCTCTTCAACAGAAGTCAGTCGAATAAAAGACATTACCTCACCCCCTTGTCTCCAATATCCTGGTCAGGTACAGCTCCACCAACACTGCATCTCTCACTTAATTACTTCCCTGCCACTGCAGGAGCCTCAGGCATTGATACACCTCAGCCCCTCCTAGTCAATGCCTCCGGCACAGAGGACATGCATGTGGCAGCCATGTAATCGGTCCTGCACCTGGGCTGTATACTTCAGAACCAGCCTAAGTCCCGCCAAGTCTATTTCTTCACACAACTCACAGTCAATCTATGGAACTCCTTGCTAGAGGAAGCCGTGAAGACTAGGACTTTAACAGGGTTCAAAAGAGAGCTCGATACATTCATGGAGGACAGGTCCATCAATGGCTATTAGCAAGGATGGGCAGGAATGGGTGTCCCTAACCTCGGTTTGTCAGAGGCTTAGAACGGGTGACAGGGGAGGGATCACTCGATTCCCTGTTCTGTTCCCTCCCTCTGGGGCACCTGGCATTGGCCGCTGTCGGAAGGCAGGACACTGGGCTAGATGGTCCTTTGGTCTGACTCAGTATGGCCGTTCTCATATGAACAAAGGCTCCTGTACTTTGCATTACGGACTGGGTGCAGCATTTCCCCAGCTGTGAGAGCAGAGCTAACAAAGTGCGTAGCAGCTCTTGGAGGTAGAAGCTGCCCCCGTGCACCCTCCCTAGTCCTACCTCCTTTGAAGTAGTTCCCATCGATAAACTCCTGCAGGCCTACGCTTTCCGGCCCGACGCCGACCAGGCGGACATTGTGACCGTCCAGCAGCTCTTTCAGTTTGCTGGTCTCCTTGGCAATCCAGCGGCAAACCTGGCAGCCAAACCTCCGCAGGAAGAAGACCACGCAGGGCTGGTCCCGCCACAGCGCCTGCAGCTCCACGACCTGCGGAGAGGTAGGACCGGTAGCCACAGGCCCAGCCCTGGGAAAGCTTTTTCACCCTCACAGCAGAACTTAGTTTATAGCAACCTCCAATTCCGGGGCCACTGTCCATTGGCTGGCAGTTTGTTTCAGGAGTTCAGAGGAGTTCCCAGGTACAGCAACAGAGGGACTAAGAGCCCTGCGCCACCTGGTGGGTTATGGCTGCGTCGTCTGATTTTAGTGGAGCAGACACACATGGCAGAAGCGACGCGCAGAAAGCCATGACAAGGTGGATACAGAAGAGGCCTAATGATCAAGCACACTCAGCATCCACCCTCGGGGACAATTTAGCAGGGAGAGTTCTCCGTGGGAGCTGGGTGCAGCCAACAACAGGGCCTGTCTGAGAACTGAGCTCTCTTGGAAAACAGGCCAACAGCAGAAGAACTGAGAAGGTTTCTCTCTGAAGGACAGAAGACAGAGTCTGGGGGGATGCGCTACTTGCCTAGGAGGACAGGCAAGTATAAAAAAACAAGACGGGTTCTTATTACCCCAGCTTGTCCCTGCCACAGGGGGCAGACGGAGCCAATCATTATTATTCTGGCAAGTCAAAAACAAAGGCAGGAACCCACACAGCGGTGAAAGTAACTTAAAATTTCTTAAAGGTACTTGTCCTGTTGCAACCCAGGGCCCTGTCATAGAGCTGGAAGAGAGTTCAGGAGGTCATCAAGTCCTGCCCCCTGCCCAAGGCAGAACCAATCCCAACTAAATCAACCCAGCCAGGGCTTTGTCAAGCCGAGACTTAAAAACCACCAGGGATGGAGATTCCACCATCTCCCTAGGTGACCCATTCCAGTGCTTCCCAGCCCCTCCTAGGGAAATAGCTTGGGGCTGGCTTTTGCCAGATCGAACTGGGCAGCAGGACACACCCGCTTCCTTTCACCTCTGCCCTTACATCACACAGGGCACCGAAGAGGACCTGCTGCAGGTATTAGGGACACATCATCACCCGGCCAGAGCGGGATTACTCCTTGCTGCCTGGGCCGCTCGGGGGCTAGTTTTCAGGCGGCCTAAGGCAGACAGCTGGCTGAGAGCTGCAGAGGCCTGGCCCAGCCAGACACCCAACGCGGGGAGCACCAGAGGTTCATAGCGTGACCAGGAGCCAGCAACATCTCCAGGGGTCATTCGGAACCGGGTTCCCTTGGCCCGGGTCTGGCTCTTCCCCAGGGGATTTGGCCCGTGCTAGCTGCGGAGCGGCCTCTCCCGGGGGCAGGGGGCACCCGGGGCTGCTGCAGGGCGAGGCTCGTGCGCCCTGCTCTGACTCGGGGCCGCCCATGGGGGGGCAGGGGGCCGACACCCCGCCCCTCTCACCTGCCCGCTCACGGCATGCTTCAGCGGGTTGGCCCCCACCCGGGCGAGATCCACAGCGGCCATGGCTCGCAGCGCCCCGGAGTGATCAGCTGGGCCGGGTCCACATGTGACCCCGCCGGCCGGGGGCACGCCCTTCTCATCTGTATGCAGGAGCTGCCGACCAATCAGCGCCTGCGGTCGGGCGCGGCCCCGCCGGGCTAGACACAGCCTGAGCCCAGGAGAGGGGCGGGGGGCCCGGAGCAAAGGTTAGTAGCGCAGGGAGCTTGGCGCAGGGAAAGGCGCCCGGGTTGTGTAACGCGTTGGGGGTGGACTAAGGGGCGGAGGGAGGATCTGGGGGCACAGAGGCTGATCTGGGCCGTGCCCCATGGGAGGCGCGTGGCCTGTTGTGAGCAGCCCCCCTGGGGAAAGGAAATCGGGGTGTGGTCAATGTTGTGTAACGCGCCTTGCAAAAGCCGCGTGGGACTGAATTCGGGGCGCACGTGCTAAGGGGAGTGTTGCAAAGTGGCTGCGTGGAAGGCTGGGGGGCAAGAGAGGGAACCAGTCTGGGGCAGGGCAAAGGGGGTCTGGGCAGTGCCTGGAATATAGAAAGAGCCACACGCTAGGGGGGTGCAATCCTGAGCTTGGTTCTGGGCGCTTGCCCTGCAGACCACTGGGGCTTGGGTGGAAGTTTCACCCATCTGTGCCCATGATGGGGGAAGACAGCAGATAAAGCTCAGGAAATTCCTTCCTGCAAGCCATGCTCCCTGGCTTCCAGCACCAAGTGACCTCAGAGCCACAGGCATATTGCTCCCTGGGTGGATCTCACTAGGGACAAATTGCTGCTCAGAAGGGTAGTGACTAGCAGCGATACTTCGCTCCTTTCTTTCACTGAGGCTAGTCTGCACTGCAAGGTTTTTGCCCCAAAACAGCCATTTTTGTGCAAAAACCTGCGGAGTGTCCGCATCTCAAATGCGCTTTTGCACAAGTACGTCGGTAGTAATACGGCAGAACAGAGGGCGTTTGCCGGTGTGGGTAAACCATCTTCTGTGAGGCATACCTCTCTTTTGCACTTCAGCTATTGCGCAAGAAGGCAAGTGTGGACGCTCCAGGGGGGTTTCTTGTGCAAGAAACCCCTTTGAGGAAAAAGCAAAGGTGCTCGGATGGCCATTCTGTAAGTGGCCATCAGAGCTTTCTTACGCAAAAGCATCCATGCAGTGTGGACGCTCTCTTGCTCAAAAGCACATGGCTTTTGCGATGCACTTTGAAATGTGGATGTGCTCTTGCAAAAGAAATTTTTGCACAGAAATTCTTGCGCAAAATGTTTCTTGCACAAGAAGCATGTAGTGTAGATATATCCCCCCTCATTCACTGACATTAACCAACCTTCTGGGAGGCCAGAGTAGTTAATAGGGAAAGGCAAAGAATGAGCTGAGACCACACTCTAAAACATCCAGCCAAGTTTACTGCAGTCAGAAGAACCGCTGTGGTGGCAACCCTTGAACTGGTCAGGCCTCTCCCCCATCCCACCCCCACAAGCCCTTATTTGGTTCCCATTTCTCTAGCTTCTCCCTCAAACCAAAACCACCCGCACCCAACCAGTGATTGAGAGGGGAGGCCCATTGCAATGTTATCACCTTTTAGGTTCAAGGCAAATCTCTGTGGTTACTCAGATCACACAGCCAGGGTCCACGTGTCTCTGGTGGGAACCCTGGGTTCCTACTTGCCAAGCCTGTGCGCTCACCTTAGGCCACAGTAACACAATAAACAGCCTTTAGTAGCAGTAACTTCCATGCCTCTAGTGCCCTTCCGCCAAGAGCTCATGGCTCAGATCAACGAGTGTTACTTCAGTAGAGATGAGTTGAAACCCAAACCTCAGCTCTAACGCCCACCAGGCACTGAGGAACCTCCGCTCCAAATCGGATCTTCCTCATTGCCCCCTCTCACAACACAAGGGACTGACCCAAACCCAGGTGCAGATGTAGCGGCTCTGAGCCATCCATGCGTTGGTGCTGAAGAGGCCTTCACCCCGCAATGGGCTCTGGAGACAGGTTGGAGGGAACAGCCTCCCCGACATGCAGAACCGCCATGTTGCACAGCCACCTCAGTTAGTCCAGTATTAAAGATACACTGAGATTGTATCCTGCGCTGTAGCGAAACACTTCAGTGCTCCATTGAGACAGATCCTTGAAGAGACATGCACCTCCTGCTGCACCATATACCTGCCACATGTCAAGGGCCAAAGGAACAGTGAGACTTAAAGTAACGGTGCCGAGTTGTGGAACAGCACAAAAGCTGCAGGAGACACAGCAGTGCAGAGTCACATGCCCAAAGGACACTGAGTGACGATACAGCAGCTGGAGTTTAAAATCATTTAGCACTTTTCCCACTGTCCTACCGACGTACTCTGAGCTAGGGTGCTCACTGGGAGACATGGGTGAAATCCTGGGGCATTGGCCCAACCCATTGTCGTCAGAGGGACCAGGATTACACCCCAGAATTGTCAGCAGGTTACCACCCACTAGGTGTAAAACCCTCTGGTGACGAGTCATGGAAGCAGGTAGCCAGTCAGGTGTCCCTGTGCCTCGGAAAGTCCAGGCACATCTAACCACACTCCTGTCTGGGGAATTACACTCCACGTACCCACATTCCACTCACAATCAACTGACTATTCTAGTCTTTGCTTTCCTTGCCTGCACTGGGAGGGCGCATTGCCCCAGCCTGCCCAGCTTCAGTGCGGCTGATGCCCGAGGGCGGTGCTGACGCTGGGGGCAGAGTGTGGGCAAGGCCATGTGTCATGGCTCCTTCCCCACTCTGGCACGATAAATGCCTAACGGATTTATCTAAACTTTACCCTACTTACAGAAAGGGAAGAGTCTTTTCTTGGAGGGAGATAGAGTGTCTATCCCCCTCAATAGCTGGAGAGAACTGCCCAGAGACCAAGGAGGGGAAAACCAAACGTTCCTGTGTCCTAGTTTGAAATTCCTACCAACATTCCGATTGCTGAATCTACCTGACTTAGGTAAGTTTAACCCCTTAGTTCACAGGCTGCTGGCTAACCTTCATAATCATGACATCATGTCTCACAGTTTGGGCAGGCCTTGCCTTCCCCTGCCTCTTGTACCCGCCGCCCATGTACAGATCTCCTGGGCAGGCCTGGCTTTAGCTCTTTCTTACGGACTGCCCATGAATTTAGTTCCAGTTGCCAACCCTGGACCATCCCCCTCCCCCACAGAGGAGAAGCTGCCTCATTGAGGAACTGGTCACCACAGCCCCCATCTCTGACAGCTCATCAGTTTCTACTGCTGCGGAGGGATTGAAGATGCTCTCCCATTTCCCAGCCCTGTCTGGGACTTTGCTCTCTCCCCCTGGCGCTTCACCACAAGGCTCCTCCCAGCTCACAGGCCCCGAGATGGCTCCAGCCACATCACAGAGCCAGGCCCCCAAGGAAACAGTGTAAAACAATGAGGCGCAGACGCAGGGGCGGCCCATGAGTCTAGGCAAACTAGACAGTTGCCTAGAGTGCTGCTGGCCTGGGCGCCCCGTGATGACTTCCCGGCCTCAGACCACTCCTGCGCAGACACAGCAGTTAGTTCTGCCTGAAACTGTTCAGATTCCAGCTGCACTTTAGCCAAGGATTTTGTGGCTTCCCACAATTCAAGCTCTGGCAGTCGGTCTCCTTCAGGGATTAGGCCTCTCCTGACTGCAGAAATATCTGTACCAGTGTCTCTCCTGGCAGGGACATTATGGCCATTCATCCCACGGCCTTATGTGCTCACTGCCTGGCTGTGCAGTGGCAAACATTACAAATCCCGGGTGATGAGGGGTAACTGCCTGAGGTGCCCAGTTAGCAACATTCCCAGGAGGTAAGATACCTGCGGCCTGTTCCCACTTAGCACAGAGCATTCGCTCCTCAGGCGCTCAGCGGAATAACAGTGACGGCACCTTCCAGACTCCTCTGTTTTCACACAGATTTAGAGTGAGGACTGGAGAAGTGAACTTGGGGAGGTGAATGCCCAGCATCGCATCCACCCTTCTTCTTTCCATGGGTAAAGTGGGAACCTTGTCTCGTACCAAACTTAAACCTTCTGTCTCGGGTATGGAATTTCTCATATTGAACAGCATCTACTGATTCCACCTTTTTATCCCCTAAATGCTTTTACACCTCATCCGCTAGTATATATTTTGAAGAGTTTTTTTGTGGATTTGTTTCTGCAAAATAAAATCATGCTTCGGGATTACCTCCAGATACCAAATTTTGCATAAGCAACCCTGCCACTTAAATTAGCTGAATGCACTACTCTCATTCATTTTGGTCATATTCTGCTTCTACTTCTGTTACCCAAAATGAGTAAACAGGAAATAAACCAATAACCAACTTGTCTCTTCTCCACCACACTGAAAACTCTCTTAATCCCCCCAGGGTCTCAGAACGACAAGCTCTGCACACTACCCTACTCAACTCTGCCACTGTGATAGGTTGGGACCCCCTTGGAACTATCACTAATGTGCTGCGACCCCACTGGGTCTCCTTCCTCTGACAGCCTGGGCACCCTGTAGTCCTGTCTTCCTGGGCCCAGCTCTCCGGCCTGCTTCAGCACAGAGGGACAGGGCTGCACCCCCCAAAAGCTGCAAACGCCCACGGAAAGTAACAGTGTGAGACCTATTCCAAGCACTTGAGTAAACCAAGCTGAATCCCAGATAAATCTGTCTGCCGTTGTATGGAATTCCACACAGAGTAAGTTAATGAAAAGTTGCAGTCTTGCTCAATGCACAGAGATGCAGAGTCCTCACCTCCCCGACAGGTAACAATTATTTACACTGGGATTATTCATAAAAAGTGATTGTTATTAAGTATAAAAGGTAGGGGATTTAAGTGATCATATAATATAGCAGACAGAACAAAGATTACGAAGCAAAATACAAAATGCAAACTAACCCTACTACATTACATGTAATATCTCACCCTAGAAGTTGTTCTAATAATTGTCACAAACCCGACATCCTTCTAACTGGGGCCCAGTCCCTTCCACCACTTCACGCTTAATTGTTTCCAGCAGATATTTTGGCTGGGGTAGCCTGGGAGAACTGACAACCAGGAAAAAAGAATTGCTGGGAAAAAAAAAAAAAAAAAAACTTTGCTCCAAAACCTGAGCCCCCTCCTTTCCTTCTTGTGGAAAAGTACAGAATCCAAGATGGGTTCCAGCACCAGGTGTCATGGTCATAGAAGCCATTTCTTACAGGTTGGGTTTTTGCAAGAATGGACAATTATAGGAAGGAATATTGGTAAGGCCCAATTAACTACTGGGGTAAAGTTGCCCAAATACCTGTTGGGTCATATCTATATGTTTTACTATAATTATCCATTCTCACATAATCCCTGCCTAGTGGGGTAGAAGGAAGACGCTAAGCTTCCTTCTTTCAGCGTGATCCTGCTACAACCAAGGGTATCCCCACCACCATTCCCCCAGCCACCCGGTTGGAGAGAGGGATGCTAAACCTTTCTCCCTTGCTCAGTTCTGCTATAACCGAAGGTGTGTACACCTTGGACAAAAGCACTCCCCCTCTCACCGACCATGCCTACCAAAGTGGGAGCAAAGAAACCTAATTCTCCCCTCTCTTTCCCAGTAGTTCTATAACCGGGGTGTGTGCACACCTGCATGATCAACTAATTTATACATAGCTATATAGTGTCACAACTGCTTTTAGCAACATTTACCAATAGCCACAGTGCATACCGTTCCTCTTTCACATTTCTCCAACCAAAATGTCATGCTTACAAAGGAGGAAAGGTAATACGCTGTGTTTATTGAAAATACAACATGAAAAGCACCAAATGCATCACACACACAGATCCTGCAGATGATCTTATAGTGACCAGTCTGTTGTGGCTCAAGTCAGAGTATTCCACAGTTATCTGTTGATGGTTATTGTCTAGCTTCCCATCGTTACCAGTTTGTCGTCTCACTCTTGGGGATGTCTGCCTGCTTCTTGGTTGTCTTCAAGGTTCTGACTTCTTTGTGACTATCTGGGCATTTGTGGTGGCTTTCACAATTATCCTTAACTAGGCTCACATCCTCCATTCACTCCAAACAATTTACAGGACATTTCTTGTTAAAAATTTTTACAAAGGATTATATAATTACTAAAGAAATAATTTAAATATCTTATACAACTTAATCTGCATTGCATCCTAGAGGCACAACTTAATTTGTAATGCTAACACAAAGGAAGACCTTATAGTAAACGTTGTCTAAACACCCTGTCTGGCAGGGTGAAAAAGAAGCAAAAACAGAACTTACAAGGTAATCATTATATAGGACTTGTTACCTTCATTATACTTGTATTCTTATACCAAGCCTTTTAAGACTACACTTGAAAGAGAATCCTCTGAACTGTCATTCATGCTTAAATTTGACATTTTACATCTAAGTTTGAATAAAGACTCTAATTATCTTACCCATTACAAAGATAGCTTCCCCAATTATCACCTCTAATATCATTAGCTCACAGACATTTACCTCCCCCCCCATCGCCCTTCTGTTCTGCAATGTGATTTGTCCTTTTCATATGTGTTCATTTTTTTTAATTGTATCCTTTGGTATGTATGGTTGTGACTATTTTCTTCCACTATTTGATCTGAGGAAGTGGGTCTGGCCCACGAAAGCTCATCATCTAATAAACAATCTTGTTAGTCTTTAAAGTGCTACATAGTCCTGTTTTTTGTTACAGTTATCAATAGGGCCTCTTTTGTGGCTGTCGTGTTACTGAACCAAAGTCTTGCTCACTAGGTTACCGGCCAGTTGCTGTTTTCATGTTACAGGCCTCTATGGAGGCCTGCGGACTCCATGTTACTGACCCTCAATTTACTGTATCATCCAGTAACTAAACAGGACTGTCCAAGACATTACTGTTAGAGAAAAGAAACTGCCCCCCCAGTAAAAAAGTTTGGCCAGGCCGCTCTTGCTATAGTGAGCTGCAGTACTCCTTGACAGAAGCTGGCCGCACCCTTCCTGCATACCATTGCCTTTAGAAAAAGGGAAGGTGTGAAAAGGGGAAAATAGCCTCAGACTCTCCCACCCGTCACCTTGGCGTGAGAACCCACCTTGGCGTGGGGCTTACCTGGTCGCATGAAACCTGCACAGTTTCGGCCCAACCCCTGGGACACAGACCCCCCCCCCACTTGGTGACCATTGGGCCATATATGGTAATATGCAAGCGCGGGAAAGCGATGTGCAAATTTGGGGATAAATACCCATCACACAGTTCGCTCTAGGAGGTCTTCGCAACACACGTACCACCGTGCGTGTGCCTTCTCGTATACTTCAAAGCGCTGCCGGCCTGATCAACCAACCAGCCACCTCCTCCGACTCTCGGGCGTAACCAAGGCCTTCGTAACCAAACCGATATCTGTGAAATGTTCCGTGTGTTGTGTAAGTTGGTATGTAGGATTTGATTTTTTCTTGTTGTATAAGCTTAGTGTTGTAGTTGTTTTGGGGTAGTACGTAGAGTTTGTAGTTATCACAGTTATTTAATTAGTGTAGCTGGATATTTTAAGATTAGAGACTATTCCCCTTGCCGTTCCCATCCTTATATCTCTGACACGTTTAACTAGAAATCATAGAATAAATACTGTAAATTCATTATTAACACGGTCTATTAAAAATCTTAGAATAAATACTATAAATTCACCACTGTCATAAATAAATATTTTTTACTTGATAAAACTGTCCACCTGGTTCTGTCCTTCCCCCCTTGGGTATTCATTATCGGACCTGTGATTCTTGCGACAATTACACCCAGCAGTATGTGCCTGAGGAAGGCCTCAGCCTAACAAGAAGTAGCCACGGAGACTAAGGTGATGATGATGTTCACTGAAAATCCTTCTTCACTGGATTTTAGAGGCCTCCAGCCACTTACTGTGGGCAAGTCTCTGTCATTCATCACTCAGGTTTCTCTAGAGTAGCTCTGATCCTACAGAAGAGACCATGGCTGGTGCCCATTTCTCGTAGCTCTCTAGTCAGGATTCTCTCTGGTTACCCTCTCCCACTGGCAGGGCTGATGAATGGCTTTCCTGGCTTTCTTCTCCCACTTGTAATGGCTCTCATCTTTGTTTGTTCAGATGCTTCAAGCAGATGATTTTGAATTTACTGTAACCATTTCCTGAACACAAAATATATCAGTTCCATTGGCTTTCAAAGGCTCAGCCTGTTTTTGCTCGTCCTTTAAAATATGACAAAGTAAAACAAGACATTATGAACTTACAGTTACTGTCAATGAAACAGCTGGTACATTTACCTATCACCTGCTGGAGTTCTGTCCTACAGTATGTTGTTCAATTCATTACAATGGATTATACTTTTTAATGTAGTTCCCCACTTAGAACAAAAGTGTAAGTTACACTGTCAGGCAGTGTCCCTTGTAAGCTGTGCACTTGTCGCTCAGATGAGAGTGAAATGCTGCCCAGCTGATTAACTGAGCACCCATGGCAAGGTTTTCTTTCTACTTGTGGTGCACATTGGCACATGCCTCCATGCACATCAAAATTTATTCTGCACACGGATTGAACAGAGAAGAGGGAATGTTTCCCTCCTCAGCGAGGTGACTGTATGGGTGTAAGTTTGTAGTGCAGCCCTTGCCTAAGCTCCAGGTTCGTCCGATGTCGTTTGAGGGCGAGGAATGAAAAGCCAGGGACGGAGTGACTGCTTTGTGACCAGCGGTCACTCATGTGGGTCACAGGGTGTTTTGGTCTTTGATCATTTTCTAGTGCAAGTCCATTCCAGAGTGCCAGGACTGTCAGGTATCGCCCACATGGTTGTGGATGAGACACACCAAAATCTGCCCCAGCTTGTATTTAGCTATGATGCTCCAGTTCCCTTTTCCAGACCTGTAGACAAGCTCTGTGAGGATCAAAACCGTGTCTCTTACCCACAGAAGCTGGTCCAGTAAGAGATATTAGCTTCCCGGTAACAGGGAAATAGCAGTTTGGGAAACAGGCTCCGGGTTGCATGCCTGAGAGATTAAAGGGCCAAAAGAAAAGGAAAAAATCCATTTTAATTTACAGATTTTAAAGATTATTTTGCTTTCAATTGTGCTCTCAATAAAACTGGAATTAAGACGCAGTCAAGCCATTCCTTGCTAAGGTTTATTACATTGTTTGGATTATGGCTGTCCACTTAGTGGGGTCCTTTACCCTGGGGCATGCTAAATGCTGAACTTTGCATTTCTATGATACCTTCCACTCAGGAATCACACAGCACTTTACAAACAGCCTGGAGCAATCAGGGTCTATGCACAGCCCAGGTCATTGGTTCTGCCATTTTCAGGGCCTTGCACAGCCACAGAATGTGCATGTGTCAGTGCAGGGGAGGTGGGGGAAGGGGCTCGTTCCTTCTGAGTCACGTCTTCGGGAATGTCCCAAGATAAGCACTGTCCCATTTCACAGATGAAGAAAGTAAGGTGCATTGGCCCAGATCCACTCAGAGACCGAAATAGGGAAGTAGTGGAGTCTCCATCCCTAGAGATTTTTAAGTCTCGGCTTGACAAAGCCCTGGCTGGGTTAATTTAGTTGGGATTGGTCCTGCCTAGAGCAGGGGGCTGGACTTGATGACCTTCTGAAGTCTCTTCCAGCTCTATGGTTCTATGATTTAGGCTCCGGGCTCCCACGGACACCAGGAGCCAAAATATTTTTCAGATCTAAGAGGATCGGGATCATAGTGATGAAGTGATTTAGAACCCAGGTCTCAATTTATAACACATACACACTCCCCACCCCCCACCCCATTAAGCAGGCCCCTGCTCCTCTTGCTTTATCCCAGTAAATAAAAGAACAGACAACTCACCTCTGTCCCCTGTTTACCTGCAAAGAAAAAGAAACCAGCTCGTCAGAAAACTCCGGTGCACTTTAATACATAAATGTATCAGTTCACTGTCCCAGTGCCATGTCCTGCCCTTAGACGCAGGCCCAGCTGCTCTCTCCGACTCAGGGGTGGCCATGTGTGCGCCTGCACAGAACGGGGTCCCCCCGCACTGTAACCGCTCGCTGCGCTGCACTTAGCAGCAACTTGAGGAAACCCCGCAGGGAGAGGAAGGGGGCTGGTGACGTTGCTAATCCAATGGGATTTGGGGCTCTAACAATCCTTTGCATTTACATAGCGCCTCACCTCTAGGAAACGCAAAACGATTTGCAGACACCGCAGGGGAACTGAGTGACTGGCCAAAATTCACACTCTGGCCATGGCAGGGCTGAGGACACAATCCAGGAGCCCTGGGTCCCAGTCCCAGCTATGCGCAGCAAAGAACATTCCCGCCTAGACCTGAGCACGGTGCCCTTCTCCTGGGAGACAAAGGCCAGGGCCTAGCGGAGGCACTTAGCTCTGAAGGAGGAACAGGTTCTGAACAGGACGCAAACTCCTGCTCCATGAACATCACTGCTCCCCCGGCAAATGGAACAGGGAACTTTGGGAGCAGATCCCCCAGGCAATGGGGCAGATCAGGGGAAGGGGAGAACTGGTCCAGGCTGCTGGGAGGATGTGAACAGCTGGTACTTTTAGCCAATGCAGAAGCTGGCCTGGGGCAAGGGCCAGTGTAAGGCACAAGCTGGGAAGAGAGAGGATCTTCCCCAGATAGACAGGGTCCATGGCCACAGTAGCTGGTGCTAAAGCACAGCATCCTCGCCTGGGATCAGCCAGGTCACCCTATAAAATAGGCCCCATTGAGGGTTAGTGGCTCCTACTGGCAACTCTTCCCAGAAGGGAGATCTGGACTACACTGGGCATCCTCAGTGACAAGAGGCTGTCAGGTAACAGGCTGGCATGTGGCAGGGTGAAACAAAGACCATTGTGCCAAATGCAGACTCTGTCAGTCTGACACCTCGCCCCTCCCCCCGCCATACACCCATTTACGATTTTCACAGGCCCCTCGCTTTTCTGACTTACATGTTACATTATATTTCCTCTTCACTTTCGGCCATAAAAAGTAGCCTCCAGCCCCTGAAGCCGCAAGTAAGACTAGAAGGATAATTATCACAGCTATCACAGCGCCGGACAGGCTGCTTTGCTGACAAACGGCATCAGAAATACGTGTCCCGGCCTTCGCTTCTGTCATCCTTTGCTCTTCGCACCTAGGATGAAGGGCGACATGTTACTGTACACGTCAGTGTGTCCACAGCCATCTGGGTTCACCCGTCGGTCCATCAGCTGAACACCTTAATATAGTCAGATCCAATGTGAGAAGACCCCACCTGGATTCTGGGCCCGAGCCTGCAGTCTAGCCAGGCCAAACTCCCTCACGTTTCAAGGCTTCAGGAGCAGAAGAAGCCGGGACATTAAAGAATTCAGGGCCCAGCTTGTTAACAGGGCATAGGATTAGGGTTATCAGGGAACGTACACACAATACAGACACAGAACTGCTCTCGGACACTTTTCCTGCCCACACCTCAGCGCAAGGCTCTGTGTTTAGCGCCAGTGTCCCTGCTGTACCCAAGCGGCACAGAGTGGGGCTCCCATGCTGACTTGGGTGCTCCTCGGACAACCGTCCATTGTGAGTGAACCCTGAGTGAGCCAAAGGGCTAGATTCTCCATTGCTCAACACCCCCTTTGCATGGCTCGGCGGCCAAATGGGCTGTGTGGTGGGATAGGGCCTCACCTGGCACAGCTGGGCCATGGTTTGGGGGCTGGCCGTGGCTGGAGATGGATTGGCTGAGGGAGGGGGCATGGCCAGGGCAGCTTAGAACCCCATTAGTGGCCTAGTAGTAGGCCTCAGAACTGACCTAGCCTGTGCCAGGGGCTGCACGGGTCCCTGCAGCCCCTGGCAAGGAGGCAGAAGGTCGTTGGGCCGGGGTGGATAATTGAAGAAGCTGAATGTCAGCTCTTCATTCTACAATGTGCCACGTGTATTTGGAACCTGTGATCTGCCCCCTCCCCTGTGGCCACGGGGCTCTCTGGCCATGGACCAGGGCTGCCCCACTGCCCAGTGGCCCTACCCCAGTCTGGCATGGGGCCTGGTCCCACAGAGTCTCTCACCATGTCACTGCACTGATGTAGTGAGGCCGGGGCAGAGGGGCCTGCCATTAGAACCCACCAGCCACCCCATGTCAAGTTTTAAAACAGGCCTGAAGCCAATCCAGATCTAACAGAGAGTGCTGGGTACAGAAAGGGATTGCTGGGGATCCTGGGTTGTGCTCCCCAGCTGCTGAATTTCAGGGAATCACAGACCAGGTCTGATGTGGCCCCAAAACTGAGATACAAAGAAATCACCCTGGCTGCAAGAGTGTAAAGTCAGTGCCGGGAAAAGGCCACATGAAGTCGGTCACCTACTTGGTCCATGGCTGGCAGGCCCGGGACATATTGGATGCTGAGAAGGTTCCATCGGGGCAAACTTCACACTGGTTGTCACTGAACTCGGTGCCTATGAAAGAGGACGACAAAACTGGATTCTCTCCCGAATGCGTGGGTGAAGGGAGCTTTGGTTTCAGGAAGCTCTCCTGCTCCTTCTCCCCACTAGCACCCCCACCTTGTTGCACCCCTACCTCGGTCAGTCCAGGAGCTAGCATTTTTAAGAACTGAGCCGCACTGGCATTTTATTCCTGCCTGGCACTTGAATACGTCAGTACTCAGTTGAGCAGAGGCACGTGGAGAAAAATGCATCTCCTGCTGCACCACATATCTGGGCCATGACAGGGACCAGCCTCCTAGGGTTGCCAGGTGTCTGGTATTCACCCGGACAGTCTGGTATTTTTGACTCCTGTCTGGTAAAAACTTCAAAGAATACTGGACACCTGAGATGTCCGGTATTTTCTGAATTTCTCCCTGGCCAGGAGACGAAAATGCCAGGCACCCTAGAAACACTCAGCACCCGGCCTTCCCTGCCCTCCCTCCCTCCGCCCAACACCCCCAGTTCCCTGACCCCAGCCCCTATGCTTACCTGGTTCCCCAAGGCTGCTGGCAGAAAATAGCTGCCAGCCAAATGAGCCAAGGGGGGAAGTGC